CTTAACTAATTAGAACTTTTAGAGAAGGTTTTCTAAAAGTCTCACTAAAACCAATACTTTTAGAGAAGCTTTTTCATTATCTTCTCTAAAAGTATCTTTTAGTAACTCTTATAAACCGTCACAAATAGTTGAAAAGTGTCACTAATATATATACTTTTAGAGAAGTTTTGAATAAAAAGTTGACTAACCTTTAGAGAAGTTTAAAAGTGTATCTAAAGCCTCAATTAAGCGTCTCTAAAGACTAACAAAAACACACCCTTCGAAAACCCTCTCTAAAACCTTCACCTACCGTCACACAGAGAAGGTCTTTGACAAAATTGAAAAGCTTATCTAAAGGTTTTAGAGAAGCTTTTAAGACTTTTAAGTACAAAATAAAAGCTTCTCTGAAGGTCATTTTTCTTGTAGTGATAGTTACCTAATCCCAACTTTAAAAAGCTTTATTCAAACCATTTCTGTTGCCAACCGCCTATCTAACCATTCTCGAACGTCTAAGGAACCATATTCCCTTTGCTTGATATTTCATTAAAAATAGTTTTACGATTTGAGAAGCCGTTAAATATAACACGAATTGTTCGACCTAAAAAGTGGCGAATACTATGTTGATCGATGGTGACACTAAATGTAAAGTGTTCTTGTAAAATATATCAATAAATTTAAAAAAGTGAAGAGCAAAGGTAAGAGGCTAATCCTATCATGGTTCATACCTCTACATTCAACATTGGGTTTAGAAATCCTCTGCTTTTTTATTACTTATAATAAGTTATTACAAACAAGAGTACTACGCTCACAAGTTGGTACAATTTGATGAACATTGATACAGTAAAAGTTAAAAGTGATCTAAAAAAAAGACCTCTTGACCCTATCACACATCATTAATGAAGTTTTTAATTTCCCTAGAAAACAATAGAGGGGTTAAGACCAAGCGGCTTGTGATTGATGATCGATATTCACCTTAACTCATTTTATGTGCAATTTCCGGAGATGTGATACATAAATAAGGGTTCAGTTGGCTCTAATTCGAACATGGATGGTCTGATTGATTACCACAAATCTTGAGCCTCCTTTGTATGTATACAAGTATCTTTTTTGAGAAAAAAGTGGATGTCTATTAGAGAGAGATCATGTGGGAGGGATTAGGTTGAAAAAAGTAGATCTATGTTTATATATATATATATATATATATATATATATATATATATATATAAGACTTTAACATCCTACTCGATTACTGGTCCCTAACGTGTGCATGAAATATTAAATTTATCAACAACTCGATCAAAAGGAAAACAAAAGGGCAAGAGTGTGTCTAGCCTGTATGCTTCATATGCTACACAAACATGTTGTCTATAGTCCGATCCATGCAAACGTACTCACTGTTTTAATGGTGGAGGGTCCGCCATGCCCACTGTCTTCCTTTTTAATGGCTGTTTTTTGTGGGGATGACATCTATCCATCTGCTACCCATGCATTCATTGAGACACATGTACACATATTACATTTACATATATCTCGTCATATATATATATATAATATATATATATATATAATATATATATATATTTTTTGCTTACAGTCTTGTTTTAAAGGATTCATTATTAGGAGAAAGATGAACATAGAGCTCTCGCGTGATATCTGGTTATGTTGCCATTTGCTCTCTCTCTCTCTCTCTCCCTCTCTCTCTCCCTCTCTCTCTTTCTCTTTCTAAACATGGGAGGTGTCATTATCAGAGTACTTATTACATGTTGGCACCTTAAGAAGCCACCTCTACCTTGTTCGTCTCTTCCTTCGTTTGTATCCCACCGCGAGCTACTTCTCTCTAGAGAGAGAAAGAGCGAGAGAGAGAGAGAGAGAGATTCAAAAGGTGCAGAACTGTAGTATGTGTCAGAGGAGGCATGAAAAGAGAAGGCATATTGTCAGTTAAGATGCATGCAGGCTCAAGACGCTCAGCTGCTTAACTCCCATTGGGGACCAGATTGCGACCTTCCACATCCCTACTTTCTTCTTCTTATACCCTTTTTAACTTATTCTCACAGGCATAAACAGTACCAGCCGTGTCTATTTGCCTCACCCATCTTAGCTTAAGCATGTACCTTCCTTTACATACATTATTTCCCATATAAATACACCACTTTCTTCCATAAAAGAATCACCACAACACCTTATATCCTCCCCCTACCCCCAAGGTACCCAATACATTAGACTCCGCTATAGATAGGTTAAACAACTAAGGGTGTGAAGAGAAGCTATAGAGAAAGAAGAAAGAGGGTAAATGGACTGGAGTAGCAGCAACCCCATGCCGTTTGTTCCTCGCCCTGCACAAAGTTCCTTTGCCTTTCTCTACAACTATAACAGTGACCCCTATCTATACCCACCTGGTAATTCATTCTAAATGTTTTCAGATCGTCTTATTTCCCTTTCATTTAGTTCTATGATCAAAGCATTACACATGTGGTTTTACCACTTCTGTAATGCTTCACTGTTCACTTTTAGTTTATCTCTCTACTTGTTTTAGATAACCAATTAATCTTTCGATGTGGATCGCCTTGCATGAGGTCTCGATGGTGGTTGTAATTGGTAACCCAACTGTGGTACCTATTAAGTCATTTGAATCTAGTGGTTGCAAATGCATGCAAGTTAGAGTCAACTTTGACATAAGATTTTATTTCTTTGCTCATTTACCTTCTACGGAAAACAGATCAAATAAAAAGTTCCATCTCTTTCAAATCAGATGCATTTGGAATTCATTGGACAAGCTGCCAATACCCAGCTGAACATAATGATTTCTGCTCCTGTGTCACTGTGTGCTTGCACATGCATGTGTTTGTCTCTATCTATATATGTATATATATGTATGTATGCATGTATGTATGTATGCACAAAACACGATCTATATATATATATATATGTGGACTAATGCACCAACATAAATGCGAAAAGCTGTGTAAGTTTTAGATTCAAAATATTAACTTTTGGAAGAATGGTAGCAGGAGGGACAGAGATGAAGCAAATGATGCAGCAGGGCTCTTTACCAATGATGGATATGAGCCAACTTGATTATGATAACAACAATCAGGACAAGAAAAAAAGATTGACAAGTGAACAACTTGAGGCACTGGAAAACAGTTTTCAGGAGGAGATAAAACTGGACCCTGATAGGAAGATGAAGCTTGCACAAGAACTAGGGCTGCAGCCTAGACAAATCGCAGTTTGGTTCCAGAACCGACGTGCTCGTTGGAAGGCTAAGCAGCTTGAGCGCTTGTACGATGCTCTTAAACAAGAGTTCGATGCTGTCTTCAGGGAGAAGCAAAAGCTTCAAGATGAGGTACGTAAATGAATGCCATGATCTCCCTCCCTCTAAATAACCATGAATTTCTTTCAAACGCCCATGTTTTAGATTCAAGATCTTTAGGTACGTTAAGTTCTAGTCATTTGAACAAATTAATTACCCAAATAACAATATAGCTACTTTTATAACGAATTAATAGGTTATTTTCAAATGTTAAGAATGAAAGTGGTAATTTTTCCCAACTTCTTATATCGACTAGAAACAATGAAGTTAATCTATTTAAGCCTTTGATATGATTAAGGTACTAGCATTGAGAACCATACTCAAAGAACAAGGCAAGAGACAAGCAGCAGTCTCTACAACAGGTTACACAGATATGTCCGGAGAAGAGACAGTTGAAAGCACATCGGTGGCCGCCATTAGAAGCTCCAACAACCACCCTCACCACACAGTCGTTGCCGCAAACACCGCTGCTGCTGTCGAATGCAGCTATATGCTCAACTATGATGGATCAGCAATGCCTACTCCATCTTACTCCAACTGGGCTGTTCTTCCTTCTTATCCATAAAATCATCTTTAGTTTACTTAGTCAAGTTTTAGATGTTATTAAGTTTATCAGCTTAAAAGATGTTACCTGAATCAGTTCTTTGAAAATTGTCACACTCCAATATGGTCAAATAACTATTCTTAGTTTCAAGTTTTATATAAAAAGTACAAGCAAATCAGTGAGGGATTGAGTTTTTGGTTGATCCTTGCTCATCTGCGAAGGATTGATGTTCGTCGCTGATACCTGATTTTCTAGAAGTGAAAAGGGCTACAGAAAGCATGTAAAGAGAAAAGCTTACTAGTTAGAGCAAACCATTCTTAACTAGAAAACCAAACCAAAAAGATCTTGTCGGCCAATAATAAATACAAACCACACTCTATTAACTAGCGTGAATAATAGAAAGCATTAAAACATATATGCATTTATTATGGAAATGAAATGAGATACAACATGCATGTAGAAATCCTAACCCCACCTAACTACTACTAACTAGACAAAGAAGTGGGTGTTTTAAAAATATACCCTATAGGTCCGACTATAGAAACTGGACACTTTCCGTGGCGGACGAAGCCGTCAGAGATCGTTCGGTAATCGTTAGATACTTGATCTATTACGAAAGGTTCGTTGTCGAAAAGTTGGATAGATACGGGATTCCGACATGGCATATCGCTGATGGTTTTCCAATGGTCGTTCTATTTTTACTCTGATGGGTCTTCAATGGCAACTTTCAATCACCAACCATTTTGGGATTTTGCAACACATACTTCCACAACGAAGGATTTGTGATAGTTTCATCAACGAAATTCGGATGACCTATTTTTTCGAAAGAATCCCAACGATTACAATTATCGAAATTAATGTCGGAACCCTTAGAGCATCTACAATGGAGGTTCTTACAAGAACCTCATTTTTGTACTTTTTATCGCCACCTTAAGTCCACCTTATCAAATTAAAAACTCATCAAGAACTCCACAGTTCTGAACCTCTTTATTTTTTTAACATCAATAACTTTAGCATTAATAATTACACATATATATGAGAACTAATTAAAATTATGCAAAATTATGCATGTATGTATAATGTCACTTAATTGTTATTTATACCACATTCGTAATGACCCTTTAATATATAATAGACCAACGAGATTGAAGTACTCCAAATGCATGTTCAACATCCTTTCTTGCACTATCTTGTCGTTGCTTAAATAATTTTCTTTTTGCATCTTGTGGGCAAGGAAAGCTCTTGACGAACGTCGTCCATTCCAGATAGATACCAGTAAGATAATATCCCTTCGTATAGTGTGTATCGTTTATCATAAAATTAACTGATGGTGCCTCCCCTCGTAAGACATTATTAAATAAATTGGATTTGTTGAGTACGTTGATATCATTACCTGATCGTACGATCCCAAAGAATGCATGCCATATCCACAATTCTACAGATGTAACTGCTTCAAGTATAGTTGTTGGACACCCATGATCACCACGATTGAACTGACGTGTAACACTCTAAAATAAAAGCATTTGAAATAAATATCATATTGAAGATTAGATATTCTAAATAATTGAATAAAGATTGTATGAGGATGTATATCTAGTGTGAATATTTTGAAATGCCATTCAATTTATTAAATAAAAAAGGGAAGGATTGCATTTCATGATCAAATTAATTTGAATATCTTAATTGATGGAAAATTTGGAATGGTGGTATGGGAGGTGGCAAGGAAATGGAAAGATAGATGGAGGTATATATCATATCACATAGGGTAAGGCAACAATTCAAAGAAGATGGGGTATAAATACTAGCCTCTCTAATCTTTTAAGGGGTGGAAACGAGGAGGAGGGTTAGTAGTGATTAATTGTGATCGATATTTTCGTTTATTAAGTCGATAAGATGATCGGATAATGGATGATCTTTTCAAGAATGAAGACTACATATATAGTACGGTTAAAAAGTCGATAACATTCAAAGTCGAAATCACGAATCAAAGGGTTGCCAAAAATATCCAAAGAAAAATGTGTGGATGTTCCAATCATGAGAGGGAGCGTCTATGGCGTCGGCAAAAGAAAAAAAAACTAACAAAAGCTTTTGTTTTAAAGGTGACACAAGCTAGTTTATATGTGTGTGTGTATATATATATATATATATATATATATATATATATATATATTAGTTTTGTATCCGTGCAATGCACCGGGATCCGTGAATTTTAACGATTTTGAAGCTTCAATGGTTTTGTTAAAAGAGATTTTAACGATGATATAACTTACGTTTTGTTCTTTAAATATTAATACAATTTGAATAAATAAGAGTTATGGTTCCAACATACTTTTCTGAAAATACGAATGTATTTTAAATATGATATTTTCAATTTTCAACATCCAAACCTCCGATGTTGTATGTTGACATGGAAAAGTGCATCCCATTTTTCTCCTAAGCAAATTCATTTTCAATTTCCAACTTATGTTCAAGATTATGAACATAATTTTCAATTTCCAACTTATGTTCAAGATTATGAACATAAATTGGACAACATAAATATGCATAGAAACATGTGGAACAATTAAACAAATGATCATCAGAACACAAAACTATCTTAGAATTCATACAAACCTAGTTCATCACCTTCAACAAACATTATACAACACAAATAACACAACCTCTTATAAGGAAAAAAAAACCCACGAATTCATAATTGACACAAAGATTATTAATTTCAAAAGCCCCAATATGCTTCAAAATCACTACTTTTTTAACAGTTAAGTATAATATTTCCAATAAAACTTATAATAAAATGCAATGACTATATCGACATAAAATTTTCATGAGTTGCAAGCCAACCTCCTTTTGCACAGGCAAATCAGCGATTCGCCATTCAAAATCAAAATATTGTTTATGTTTCTCTTCAAATGATGCCTAGGATGGGACATGCAATAAGAATTAGAGTAAGATGTCGTTTACTAAATGCTTACCTAGTAAGTCTTACCGCCATACCGGGCCACTTTACCTTATCGAACTAACATGATAATGATTCAGAATCTTACGCAGTAAGAACAATAACAAGAACCGAGAGTCTTATCCAGTAAGTGAGAGTAACAACTCTTACCCAACAAATGCTTACCGGATAAAAATGTTCCAACAATGTCGTTTTAATGGACTGAACTTTTAAGTGGTAATTTAAATGGAAGTGTTTACAATTACCGATAAGCACTTACCGAGTAAGCAATTTGTGTAAACAACCTTCAAGTATGGTTTTTAGAGAACTTTAAGACTCAAAATACATGTATTTTTAACAAGTAAAGGATGGTGTGAAAACATACCACCCCTTGTTGAATTTTTATAGCCAATTTTCTACAGGGGTCTATATCTTTGTCTAGAGGTTCTGTAAGGAAAACTCTTATAGTATCACCAAGACCATCTTGTATTGTATACCAGACAACTTAAAGCATGTATAAACCAAAAGTGCATATGCATGATACAAAAATGAAGGAGATGAGCACATATGAAGGAGATGAGCAAGCTTATATAAACAATGCAAATGGATAATATATTTTGGTGTTTTTCCAATACTATCATAAGATCTTCTAATCCTAATCAAATACATTTAAGTGGAGGACTCATCATCAGGATCTAAACCCTTTATACATTCAGAATGAAACCTCTTGGCATACGATGATAAACATGGTTGTCGTATCTGGTTGTTGAGCTTCTCGCAATACTGCCAATGCATCTTGCAATAAACCAACTGCTACATACTATATCAGGCCTGCATTGAACAGCTAATTAATATTTGGTAGTTAGTTAGTATGAAAACACAATCAAATCATGAATTCCTCCAGATGTTATGTTCAACATCCAAGCCATGTACTGCCCATCTTTGCATTACCCTAAACAATACATAACAAATAAATCAGACAATTCATGTTGTCATCAATATCTATTGTATTGTAAAGAAGATGTGGGTGAACCTTGCATAATTTGTTCCTTTTAAATGTGTTGTTGCCAAGGTTGCAACATCTATCCAACACCCTGCATCTTGTAGCTGAAAGGGAGATGTCGAAATTCAGTGTAGTATTGTATTTTCATATGAAAATTGCATCGCTAGTAAAAGACATATATAAAGCTCATGCTTAATGGCAACCTTTTATTTTATTGGTTAAATGAAAATCTTGTTCTAATACAGGCATGCATCGTTGCAAATAATCCATGTAACTGGAAGCTTCTTGAGAATATGGTTTGTGTACTCCATGTACAACTATTTGTCTCATACAGGAGCTTCTGTTCTGCTTTTTATCTTTAGTTGTCTTGTTCCATCATCTGTTCTTTTTCTGGTTCTGCAAAGGCCTTGGTTACTTAAAACCCCTGGTTCATGCAAACAAGCCAATTTCGTCATATCATCCACTCTACATGGCGGTGCTTTAGCATCTTTCGGATATACATTTGATGCTTTGGCCCATCCCTAAAAGGTTAGGCCACCTACACACCAGATGAGGTCAACAATGCAAACAGAAGGCATACCAATGAAGCACCTATTTGTCTTGAAACTCTCAAATCCGTATATGTCTAGTACTCCAATTATGTATTTTGAGCTTGAGTCCTGACCAATTGAACTATTGATCTTATCTACAAGCCTGCAAATACAAATTGGATAACATAACTATAAATGTTAGAATTAAGATTGCAGCTCACAAACATTTTGATGGTATTATGAGCCCAGTTGAGTCAACAGCACAAAACTGTCCGTAACAGAAAATTGAGGCTTACCAGTCAAATAACCTCGAGTGTGCGATTTTTGCTAAAGCATCTCTGCTGACAGCAGCAGATTCTGGATCCAACCATTTGGTGATGGTCTCATCACGTGTTACAATTACACGTTTGCATATACAATCCTCTAGAGCTTTCACATCACACTTGAACAAATCTTTTTTACTTAATAGGGCATCTACTATATATAGTGATATATATATATATATATATTGCATGAAAAAAAAATATTAATGACAAGATATAAGTGAAGTGGAAAAACCAAAAGAGAAGGAATCCATGCATGCCATTCA